ATAATTTTGCTCGATTACTGCCTTCCAACTTCGTTCCTATAAATTTCACCATTCTCCAGCATCTCTTGTTTTGACCCTAAAATCCAAAATCCTGTTTCTTTTGTTGTTACCAGAGATATGGGATGCACTTCGTGTTGCTGCAGAAGCCGAGCTATCTCTGGCCCAGGCAATTGTGGACAGTGCAGGCGTCATTGTGCAGAGTGAGGACTTGACTATTTGCTACGACGAGAGAGGTAACAACTATTTCCTTTCCTTCTCCCCTTACTGGATCCCTTTTCTTTACGACATACATGTTAACCGTAGTAAACTCAACCTGCAAGTTCACACCTTGCATTGTGCTGATGCAGGCGCAAAGTATGAACTACCAAAGTACGTGTTAAGTGAGCCAACCAATCTGATTCCTGACAATTGAAGGAGGAAAGAAGAAAGCGAAAATAACTGTCTACTTTTCCCCAGGATATGGGGGGTTTCTAAACAAATGACCACTGCCCGCAGTCAGTAGGTCCATTCATATTGTAAATGTGTTGTTGACCAATTTTACTTACAGTTTGTGTAATGGGGCCTAGAGTTAAAGCTCTGCAAGTCGAAGCTGTGATGGGGATAAAAGAACTGTGAAAAGGGTGGGAAAAGAAAAGGAAAGAAGCAGAAACAGAGGGAATCCCAGAATGGGAAATGTGGCTTTAGTAGTTAAAAGCTCTGCAATCTGGGCGTCTGGTTTTGAACCCAAAATGGGAAGAAAACTTGGTTTCTGCTTTTGGTACTTGGGGGAGGGGTTTTGTGTGTGAGGGTCTTTCTTACTTGGGGTTTTGATACAGTCTTAGGAAACGGAAGAAGAAGCAGATAAACGTATACATGGTTCATATCATTTGCATTAACGCTGCTCAACCTCTGTATCCTCCTCCATCCTTTCCTCTCTCTCTTATGTGCCTGCTGTTCTCGATGCGAGAAGCCGAGACTGTCAGACTGCATAAAATTCTGTTGAGTCTTCGGCAAGAGTTATTCGATCTCCTTGTTCACGATTAATCCAATCGTTGCATGTGTGTCCCCAACTTATCCGATCGCCATGGAAGAACAAGTTCGCGTAGCGCTTTAGACCCACCACCCATTCCAAAGCTAAACCAAATCGGTTCGGTTCGCAGAGACTAGAGGGGGCGAGAGTCGCATGAAATTGGCGTCCTGAAACGAATGCAGTTTGAATGCATTAACGCTACCTGCCGACCGTCACTGCCGCCGCAGCAACAAGTCACAAGTAATGAAATCAGCAACGCCGGTGGCGCCCCCACCAAACTACCCATCACCGGCCGGACAGATGAATCACCGTTTAATTCTTCTGATTGTAAAGTTCCGGTGGGAATGGGAATCCCGTGTTTGGATTGATTGCAGGGTTCTTGCTTGTGTGCTTTCTGAAACGGTAACCAAACCAAAACTCTGGAGAAGGCGTTAATGTATGTAGTTACTGCCGCCGGACAAGAATAAATGCGTCTGGCTAGCCTAGGAAGGAAGGCGACAAGCATACATACAACGTTCCAATCTACATTAGTGATTGCATTATTGTGATTTGTGAAGCAATGGGATCGACGGAGCCGACATTCGAGTAAAGGACAATTATGGGGCGCAATGCCATTCAATTCAATGACTCCTTTTCTGTGCCCACTAGAGTGCTCTCTCTACCTCGCTACTTCCAAGTTCCAACACATGGCTGCTGGTTCAGTACTAGTCCCTTCAACATGAATGGTCAAAACTCAAAACTGTGCATAAATTAATTAGCTTGGTGTAATATGCAGTACCAGGGTTTGATTTCAACATCTGTGACAAATCTATGTGATGGGAATCGAGAGAACGATAATGTGTAGCTTGATTCATAACAAATATTTTAGGACGATGTTGTTGAATTTTGGGCGTTAATTAGTAACTTCGTCTAAAGACACTTTTTTTTTTCTTGTACCGCTTGGGCTGCCTAGCAGTTTAGTACTATGTTTTTCTTGGACATTTTTAATTAATTACCTAATAAATGATGTCACCCTTATAAAAAAAAAAAGATAATTCTTTAATAATTACCACTATGAAGAGATTAGCAAATTAAATTAATTACAACGATGAGAGCCAGAACAGGCCAGGGTGGCCCATCATCATCGCTCTATTTTCAACCGTCCTAGGATACTCTGACCGCTAAACTGGCCCAAAATGACTGTTTTCTGACTCTTCCATTCCAAGTAGTAAGCAACGACGCCGTTTGACCGGATAACCTTTAACCTAGTAGTTTAATTACCACTTCTTTGGGTTAAATCATGATTACCATCATTATTGCTTGTCTATCTTTTTTTCGCACTCCCTTATTCTTCAGCCTTTGACTGGTTTCCTTCTTCTGGTTACGCAACTAAATTTGGATGATAACGACAAACAAAAACCAATTTATTATTAGCTCGAATTAGGTGGCCTTAATTTTATATAGTAATTACTAATTACGAAGATAATTAAACGTCTAACATATTGCAGAGCAAGGTTGTCAAACCGGTTTATGCCAGTGTGCCGGTTTAGCAAGTGGAATGGTTCAACCGGTGGCACATATCGGTTTGTGCCGGTTCATGCCGGTCAATATTATAAATAAAATTATAAATACTCATATTGAAACATGACATTTAACGTCAATACCTAAACATTTATATTTGAATCCAACAAATAACATCAATATTTAACTTTTATACTCATAAAATAAATAATAAAATAATTTTTATCAATTAAATTCTCTAAAATAAGGTCATTTTACTTAGAAATTCGTATATCGATCATGCCGGTCATACCGGTGGTGTCACGCCGGTTTTATGACCGGTACCGGTTGAACCCGGTATAACCGGTGGCACGCCGGCCGGCATGACAACCATGTTGCAGAGGAATCCTCATCATCAGATTCAGAATCGGATTGAGAAAAGGGAAAAGAATTGGAAGTACGTCACGGCCGGACCGGACCGGCATGGTCATTTCATAGCCATCTCATTAGGATAGCAATTGGTCGGGTTGGGTCAGATTTTGCCAAACCCAAACCGAAACCTATGGGTTTATCCGTGAAAAAAATACGGGATAAAACCCACTGGATTTTAAAAATTTACAATAACCCACTGGGTACCTATGGGGTTTTGTCGTAAAAAATTTACAATAACAAGTTCCTATCAAAATAAAAGTCAAATATCAATCTCTCAATACAAATTATCAGGGTTATTAAAGCCGAGCCGAGCCGCTCGGCCCGCCTGGTAAAACCGCCACCCGATCACAAAACCAGCTCAGAACAGTCTAAAAGTCGCTCCGGTTTTATGTAGCGGTTGACGAGCGATCGAGGCGGTTAACCGCTCGAGCCGATCGATCCGCTCGTCCAATTTTTGCCATTCAGCCGTTAAATTTAATTTAAAAAATAGCAGAAAATTGAAATAAACCAAAAACGTCGGGCTCTCAAACTGAATCCTTATTTCCATTTCACAATTTCGAAGGAAAGAGATGAGCTCTAGTTAAGAAATGTCCACTATTTATACTGATAACGTTTATTAGGTACCGGTTCTCTAACGGCTTTTAAACGGTCTATTGCTGGTTGGACCACTAAAGTGCGAGCTGTTCGCATTACCGGATCATGCTCCGGTTCGGTTCTGACAACATTGCAAATTATCCATGTATAAAACACCAATCTAGAAAATTCAAATAAATCACAAATTAACCATACAAATTGTTCAACACCAATCTAGCAAACTCAAGAAAATTGAAGCAAATCTCAAATTATCCATAAACAATATGATTAATTGAAAGTTTCTTTCTCCTTATCAAATAAGGTTTTTCACTCTCCACACGATAATATCAATTTCATTCTACACAATTAGAAAGAAAAAATGAGATATGTCTTCACAGACATAAAGAAGATTAGTTGTTTATAATATTAAATATACCGGGAAAATTAATTATAAGAGTTGGGCGGGTACCCATTAGGAGGGTTTACCTAAACCCAAATCCAACCCAATCCAATGAATAGTGAACAGGTTTAAAACCAAACCCGGCCCCAAACTCGTCAACACGAATTTTACTCGCATTGACCGGATTGGATCGGATAGAATACCCATAATTTCGGATTTTATTGTCATCCCTACATCTCATCGTCATCTCCCTTCTAATCCCTCGCACGTGACTCACTGTTGCTTTTTCCATTTTTACCCTCCCTATTTCGCACCGGGAAAGTAACTGAATTTTTTTTACCGCGGCCGTCGAGAAAACAAAACCCCGCCGGCGGCCACCCCTGTTTCCCAAACAAGAAACGGGGGGACGGCCACTATGAAAGACAATTGATGCTTTTTCGTCCGCTTATGGACACAGCGTGAAGACAAAAATTCCTTTACCAACAAAAGCTGAAAACTTTGCTGGAGATTTGGGAAATTTTGAAAAATCCTCCATAGGTTGGATCTACTCTGTTTCGTGTTTTCACAACAGTTTTTGCAAAGGAATTGAAGCTGCAACTGCAATTTATGAAGGCAGAAGGGAACACTCTATCCTAAAATATGAAACCTCTCTTGTTTCTACCGGTTTACCCGTTTCAGTATTTCACCACCTGGGTCTGGTGAGTGAAGTAAGCAAAGAAAGCACGGCAAACAGAGAACAAACAGAGGAAGCGAAAGGGAACGATTTCTTCCCCTCTCCTTTTCAGCTCTGGTCGACTGGTCCCCTAATTTCTTCTCCCCCAATATCTCACTTCTTTGAAAATTATTGCAAGGATGGACAAAGGAGCTTAATTGGACCAAATTTTTGAAAACAAAACCACAAAATGCCCCCTTTTATTTAAACAATTTTTTCCCCTGCATATGCACGTTCAAGCAAACGGACACACCGCTTTACTGACCCTGTGTCCTGTTTTCCACAGCACCCTCTCTCTCTCTCTCTCTCTCTTCTCTCACTCTCTCTCTCTTAACAAGTCTTAATTAGATCTCAGCTACAGCTTACTCTGTTTCGCTGTCTTCTCTTTCCACACACTCTGTTTCGCTGTGTGGGCTAAGAGGTTCTAGTCACTTCTTGATTGATTGTTCCCTCTCTTTTCACTTACTGTAACAGCGACTGGTTTTCTCGGGGTTGAGGGTTTTAGGTTAGGTAGAGCCTAGAGGGGGATTGATGCTACTGCTAGCCGTCACATTCCGTGGGAAGAAACTGCTCCTGAATTGCATGTGAGAAAGTTAGGCTGGCTGGTTTTTATGTTATGGCCTTTTAAATTGTGGTCTCAGAGGCCGACAGCAGGAGGGGATGAGAACTGGTGGTGGTCTTAATGACTGAAACGGGCGTTGTTTCTAGCGTACTTTCTCCTCCCTCTCTCTGGAGTGTGATCTTTCAGGTGGGGCGCGGGGGTGTTTTTCTTCTTTCCCCTTTCTTCTTCTTCTTCTTCCTTCCTCTGTTTCTTAGCCCCACATTTTGATGTAAAGTTCCGTCCTTTTTCTACCCCGGTACTTTCTCCGAAATCCTCCAACTTCACTCTCTCGCCATTTTTGTCCATAGCTTTGGCCTTTCTTCTAAACAAGATTTGAGGTTTCGCCTGTGTTGAACTGAAGATGGGTCGAACTGGTTGAGCTATTTTGGACTCATGCATTGGAGCTCAGCTGCTGACGCAGAAGCCGGTGAAAAAGCTGGGTTCTTTACGGTTTCAAGGTACGAGGGGAAAGGGATTTTGTTCTTTGTTTCCTCTGTTGCCATAATGAATGAAGGGTTCTTTCTTAGCTTGCTGTGGTTAATGGTTATATTCTTGCTGAACAAAAATCCCTGAGAATTTGGGGATACTATCAAGGAACTATTAATTGATTGATTGGTGGCGAAAGGAGGATCTTTGATTCCTTGAACTCCGGCCAATCCCACTGCTATTCCGCCGATTAGTTAGCGGGTTCTTACCGAAAGAAGATGCGGCACTGCTTGATTGGTTCAATCAAAGAGATTTTGTTGTTATTACATGCATTAATGTTGTGATCATGACCAAAGCTGTCGCCAGAACTAGTAGCAGGAGGATTCTCAAGGATGCAAATGGCAATATCAGCGACCATCTCCGCAACCACATCCATTTGACAAACTGCATCCACCTCAAGAACCACATGCACAAGCAGAGCCCGGTACTCAATGACAGGGCCCTAATGAGAGACCTCATTAGCCTACAGAGGTCCCGTTCGCTTCGCGATCCTTCGGCGAGCCCTCCTTCGTCGTGGAAGTCGCCCTCGGTTGTCGATCTGCTGCCCAAGAAAGGTGATCATGACGAGGAGGATAACAGTCTCCATATACAAGAAGGCAGGAGGTCTTCTGTTGGTAGAAGAGAGAGCAGCAGCAGGAGGTTGTCTGGTGGCTCGCCTCAGGTTTCAATACATCAACCATCGAAGGTTGTTCCTGTAAGTGATCGTAGTAGTAAGAGTGGGATGAAGGAGGGTAGTGGGAGAGTTAGGAGGGAAGAATCTAGTACTAGAAAGAGTGGTAGTAGAACTGATGATGTTAATGGTCTATCGTTTCGTGATACGGTTTCTGGCAATTTAGGGTCTAGAAATGGGAAAAGTAGGCAGCAGAAGTCAAAGCATAGTGAGGATGATGAACATAGCAAGACTCTTTCTCAGCAGCTGAAGCAGGTAGCTGCTATGGACAGTGATGTAGCAGCATCTTCTTCCAACATTCATTGTAATGGTAGACTTGGTGGAGTTAATCGGGTTAAAAGGCGTAAGTTTAGGGGTGCTAGGGGAAGAAGAAGTCGCGGTCCACCTTCTAGAGACATTGGAGGAGGTCATCATCAGAAAGAAATGTCTGCTGCAGCTTCTAATTCACTACTAGCTCAAGAAAGAGAAGTAGAAGAATATGGAGATCAAAATGTCACGCATGGTCCAAGAAATGGATGTGGGATTCCATGGAATTGGTCAAGGATTCACGATAGGGGGAAAACATTTCTCGACAGGGCTGGAAAGAGTCTGGCTTGTGGTCGGTCTGAGTCAAGGTTGAGGCGAGGCTCTCATGAGAGGGACATGGGTGATATGCCAATGGCATCTGGTCAATCAAGTTCAGCGGCATCAAGGTCTGGTTCTGAGGCACTGCCTCTATTGGACCAACCTTCTGCTGGATCGAGCGACAACAATGCTCGTTGGACACATGACTATTCTGGTGAGCTTGGTCTATATGCTGATAATTTGCTGAGAAATGATCTTGATTCTGATCTTGCCTCTGAAGCTAGATCGGGTGATCGTGAAGGCAATCATCATGGCCAGAATCACAACCGAAGGCATCAAAATCTGACCCAAAAGTACATGCCTAGAAGCTTTAGAGACCTTGTAGGACAGTATCTGGTCTCACAGGCTCTTGCTAATGCAGTCGTGAAACGGAAGGTTGGACTTCTGTATGTATTTTATGGACCTCAAGGCACTGGCAAGACTTCCTGTGCCCGAATTTTCGCTAGGGCTCTAAATTGTCAGTCGATGGAACATTCCAAGCCTTGTGGTTACTGCAACTCTTGCTCTGCACATGACATGGGCAAGAACAAGAATATTAGAGAAGTTGGTCCTAATTTTGACTTCGAAATCTTCATGGATCTTCTTGACAACATGATCGTTTCCCAGTTGCCATCTCATTACAGGGTTTTCATTTTTGATGATTGTGATACTTTGTCCCCCGAATGCTGGAGTGCGATATCAAAGGTTGTCGATCGAGCTCCGAGGCGTGTGGTTTTCATCCTTGTTAGTTCGAGTCTCGATGTTTTGCCTCATATCATTATATCGAGGTGCCAGAAATTCTTCTTCCCAAAGTTGAAAGATGCAGACATTATCTATACTTTACAATGGATTGCTTCAAGAGAAGATATAGGCATTGATAAGGATGCTTTGAAACTGATTGCCTCTCGGTCAGATGGATCGCTGAGAGATGCTGAGATGACTCTCGAGCAACTTAGTTTGCTCGGGCAGAAGGTCTCTGTGCCTCTAATTCAGGAGCTGGTAAGTTCTTTTACCAACTGGAATTTTTGTAGCACACATAGTCATTCTGCACCCAGCTGATATTTGTAGTTTATGGTATGTGTTCTAAGACTTCAATGGTTTCTTCACAGGTTGGGCTAATATCTGATGAAAAATTGGTGGATCTTCTTGACCTGGCATTATCTGCAGATACAGTAAACACTGTGAAGAACTTGAGGGTCATAATGGAGACAGGTGTGGAGCCTTTAGCTTTAATGTCGCAGCTTGCTACTGTTATCACTGATATATTAGCTGGAACATATGATTTCACTAGAGAGCGGCATAGACGGAAGTTTTTCAAGCGACAACCAAGTAAGTTTCAATCATTTGTGTTCTGTTACTATTAGGTTTTCTGCCTTTTGTTTCATTTACTCATCTCCTTAACAAATGAGATTTGGTTTAGGGATGGCCAAATACTTAGGTTGTGTTTGTTTAAACTTCTGCAACTTGCTTGCTACATTCAAATGTGGTTTTCACTTCAAAAGTTGATTGGGTGAAAATTTATGTTCCAATTCCCAGTGTTGAAGGAAGAAATGGAGAAACTGCGGCAAGCATTGAAAACATTGTCCGAGGCTGAAAAGCAACTTAGGATGTCTAACGACAAGCTGACATGGCTAACAGCAGCACTGCTTCAACTTGCACCAGATCAGCAATATCTGTTGCCTAGTTCAGAGCCCAGTTTAAATCACAGTCCCCTGCCCGGCAGAAGAGATACAACCACCAGAACAGGTGTTGAACAGTACACAGAGATGGCTCCCCACAGCGAGAGAAGCTTACCTTCACAACATCCTAACAGATTAGAAAAAGAACTCCCTGCTAGAACTTCCATTGATCAGCATGGAAACAGATTGAAAAATGGCGCCAACATGGAGATGAGAAGGCAGATCCCAGGCAAAAGTCATATGGGATATGAAGAAATTTGGATTGAGGTGCTTGAGAATATTCAGATGAAGGGTTTAAGGGACTTCTTGTACCAAGAAGGAACACTAATTTCTGTCACATTTGGTCCAGGTACTACTACTTCATTAGTGTATTACGTACGAAATATACTGTTCTCTGATTACCATAGAAGTTGAACAGTGTTTGTTGAATCAATTTCATATCACTACTCCAATGATTATTGAAATTCATTTTCTTGTGCCATAACATCAGCAAAACTTCATGGAAAGGTGCAATGGACTGGGTAGGGATTTAAAAGTACTTGTGAGCCATGGGATCAATGACATCTCTTGAAATTGTTGTGCCTTTGTAGCTAAAGTTTTAGAAGTCGGGGTAATAAACTGTAAAATCGCAGAGGTAGATGAGTTTGTTAATAACCTGATATCTAAAAGATGGGTACAGAATGTGATTTTCCACTATCTCAAACAAATCTGCCGTATAAAAGTTCAGGTGAATTTCTGGACAGTTTGTGATAGTTGCCACCTCTATGGTTCCAGGTCCTATCCCAGCAGCTCTATGTTTGTTTGTTGCAGCAGCTAATCATCCAAACTCAATTGCTGTTTTATATTTCCAGCTCCAACCGTGCAGCTGGTGTTCAGCTCACAGCTGACAAAATCCAAGGCAGAGAAGTTCAGCACGCACATCTTACATGCGTTTGAATCGGTTCTCGGTTCACCAGTGACGATCGAAATCAGAACAGAACCTTGCAAAAGCAGCAGACCGCACACTCAACTCGTTTTACCGAGCACCAAGAAAGGTTCGTCAACGTCACATGTAGTAGCTAGAGATGACAGGAGGACAGCTTCGAGGGCAGAAGAACAGTATGATAATGCAGGGAGAGATGACGAGATCGTTGAAGAACAACTTTCCCCTAAACATGCAGATTTACAACAGCATAAGCCAGCTGTTCCACGTAGAGTAGGGGAACTAAGCCACAGTAGGAGCCTTGTGAGAGGCAAGGTGTCCCTGGCTCATGTGATTCAGCAGCGGGTGGAAGGGTGTAATCAGCCAAATACATGGTCGAGACGCACAGCAGTTTCCATAGCCGAGAAGCTGGAACAAGAAAACTTGTAAGTTGCCCCCTCTTACGAGTCCAAAACACCACACTTGTTTTCAGGTCACCTGCATTCGGCCAGGTTTTGAATTCGCGATGGTTGCATTTTGACAGGAGGCTGGAGCCTCGATCGAGAAGTAGCATGCTCTGCTGGAAAGCCACAAGAGTGACCCGTAGGAAGGTAATACATCCTGGCTTCTAAATCCAGGTCTGAGCAAAAGATTTTGGCTGGTGATTGATGCTGACCAATGTTTACACAATGTACTGCAGCTATCTCGTTTGAAGGTCGGGGGAAGACGACCGCAGTCATTGCTGAACTTGATCTCCTGTGGGAAATATCTCTCCAGTAAACCCAGATCACCCACCTAGAAATACAAATTGGGTTTCATTTCTTCCTTCATAGTAACGTTAATGTAAATTGTAATCCAATTTTTTCACGCCACAATTACCACTTCCTTAGACAACCCAATTTAGCCTCTTCACAAATTTCATCCTTGAATAAAATGCAAAATCAAAGCTTTTAGAAGATCAACAGAGCCAGCCTTGCTTGGAACATGAAGGTTAAGATGCTTTTAGCCTTTGCTAGAAGTGATTCAAGTACCAAATCATGTCCTCTCGTTCAAACCAAAATATTATTCATGTTCAAATTGGAACAACAAAAGGCTGCAAATTATGTACCTACACCTCTGACTCACAGTATTTGCCCTCTTAGGGGCACCTAGAGGCAACACACGATTGTTTTTCAACTGAACAACAAAACTTATCAGGAGTAAGAACGAGCTGTCTGAATTCCTAATCAGCAAAGTTTTCCTATAGGGCTTGCTCACAGAAGTTGCTAATCTCCCAGCATGAATGGATCTACGTCTCCAAGGTCCGCGACCAAAGGTTCCAACGTATCCTCTGTGCCTTCTCCGCGGAAATACGTTGGGAAAGGAAGCAACGAAATCTCATGCTTCCTGTACACCGCATCTTTTATGAACACGAAATTACCTTCTGCTCCCGGTACCTACACAACGATAGACCAATTGTTCATACAACAGACAATCTACACAGAAAAGATACATTTTACGAGTGTGCATATGAAACGGAGATGAGGGTGAGAGGAGCTGTACTTGGCCTTTCACCCAGATCAAGTTCCGAACTGGATCGATCTTGTATATCCATACGTTCTTCACCGTTCTTTGCTTGCCACCCATACGCCCAGGCATCTTTTTCCCTTTAAAGACCTGAAAATGCAAATATACATATAAGAGATGCAAACTCGCCAATAGAACACACCTAATACAAAAACATATGGTAATGTACACATCATGAGATAACACTCCACGGAGCTTAACTCAGTCTCAACTTTTTAACTCCAGAAGCTAACCAGAACGAAAGCTAACCGCTTGAGTTTTAAACCCACCAAATGCCTACTGTCTATAGAAGGAAACTTCGACAACCAAAGGAAATCAAGAGTCTGTTCTACATCACACATTCACGATTCGAGGGGCGATCAATCACATCGACTAGAAGGAAAACTAAATTGACCTAAATTTACACAACTACATAAACGAACAGGGAATATGATGATGATGATGATGATGATGGCAGCACGGACCTTACCAGGAGCATCCCTCTGACCAGTAGAACCAATACTTCTGTGCGATAAGGATGCACCATGACTCGCCGGCCCTCCTTTAAACCCATGCCTCTTCATTCCACCCTGCATACAACCACAAGAATGTTCCATTCCACTTCCAGTAAGTAAACCAGCCATTGTATCAATCTCTAAAGTTCACACTCAATCAAAATGACTGGCGTAGGCAACAAAATGGAAAAACAAATAGAAAGCTTCTTGACCTGGAAACCTTTTCCCATGGTGATTCCAGTGACATCAACATATTGGCCCGGAACGAAATGACGAACGCCAAGAGAAGTGCCGAGGGGCAGCAGCGCATCTTCAGTGACTGGGAATTCCCTCAATTTCCTCTTCAGAGGAACACCTTGAGCTCTGAAATGACCCACTTCAGGCTTCGTTAAATGCTTCGCCTTCTTCTGGCCGCAACCGATCTGAACCACCCACACCATATGAAACCATGTGATCCCAAAAAGGAAAAAAAGCTGTGAAGGGTAAACATGGCAATGTCTTCATTCTTACCTGCAAGGCAAAAATCCCTTCTTTCTCGATAGTCTTGACCTGAGAGACGATGTTGTCGTCGACCCAGAGCACGGTGATGGGAACCCTAGCGCCCCATTTGTCCCAAAGCCCAGTCATCCCGCACTTGACGGCGATGAGCCCCGTTCGCTTGGACGAAGGGGACATGGCGCCGGGCTTGGGTTCGATGATTCGCGTGGGCAAAGCAATTTCCTGCTGCTGCTGAAGCAGAGCATCGGAACTGGCAGTGAATCCCCTCAGAAATTGATGAAATGAAGATGGCGCACGGGTGACGACTACTGCTCCGGAGGAGAATGATCTGGAGGAAAGCGAGAGGATGCGGTGGAGACTGGAAACCAAACGCCTTGACGCGGCGGCGGAGGACATATTTTGGCCTGGGGAAGGGCTCTGCTTTGCCGGTTACAGACAGCGCCGTCTCTTTTCTGAACGGCAGGGTTTTAGAAAGGGATTCACTTCATATTGGAGAAAATCCCAAAATACTTTTTTTTTTAAAAAAAAAATTCTCAAAAAAAAAATTCCCAAAAGACAAAATACACTTGTAGAGTCAAAACTTTCACGTTTGTGCTAATAATAGCCAAATTTGACGAAATACCACTTATGGCCAAGTCCATCCAATTCTTTAACGCTGTTAACGTTAACACTCTGTTTGGGAAGAGGGGTAAATGGGAGGAGGGTGCAAATGTGAGGGGTAAATACAATTTCCAACACATTTGCACCTGTTTGGTTAATTTGGAACAGTAGGGGGGTGCAAAACGGGAGTGCAAATTTACTGTTTCGGCTTACCCCCCAAATTGGGGTGCAAGGGAAGGAAGGAAGAGAGGGGGAGGGGGGAATTATGGAATTTTGTTTTTCTAATTGTGTTATATATAATTATATAATAATTAATATTATCAATTTCTTCTTTTTATAAATATCATTAATGTAAACATTATTCGGGGTTGACCATTTGACTCTGGAAACAAGTTTATCAATGTTCATCAAGTCAAATCTAGATCTCTTGGTTGAATCGAATTTGCATTGAAAATTAGAGATACGAAGTGTTTGTGGAAAAGATAGAGAGAAATTGTTTGGTTAACTCAGTTTATTTGACTAAATAGTTAAAACTTACAAATTCGGACGTGTTTGACAATTTAAGATTAAACTAGACACGAAAACCCTATATAGGATGACCAGTTACAAGTTGAGCTTCGAGTTTTGAGATTGCTCGATCAATGATTATACAATTGTCATAATTAATTATTATTTGAGCATTATTATATAATAACTATTTTTAGTAAAGTATATTTATTATTATATAGTAATATTTATTTTATTATTTTATGATAATATTTTAAAATTTTAAAATCTATTTTGTAATCTTAAAATCTATTTTTAAAATCTATTTTAAAATAATATAATTACTTACTTTTCACTCTATTTGCACCCCCCTACTTTTTCATCCAAACAACAATTTACCCCTCCACTTACACCCCCCAGCAATTTGCACCCCCCAGCAATTTACCCCTCAACTTGCACCCTCCTTCAATTTGCACCCCCCTTGTTGCCAAACAGAGCGTAAGTGTGACTGGGCAAACGGAGCAGCTTACGTGGACAACCTGAGATTTCCACGTGGATAATAATTTGTTTTAAAAAAAAAGATACAAAATCTGAACCACTCATTTTTACCCACCCACCTTTTGTTCTCTCTTTCCTCTTTCCTTATCGTCTTCATCGAACCCGCCCTGATTCCCATCGACGAAATCGAAGGCGACCACGAAGGCGACGAAGGAGACGATCTTCCTCCGACGAACCCCGTACCCACCGCTATTCCTTCCTCCACCATCAATATACACCCCTCCTCCAGTCCCGATTTTCCTCCATTGATCGAGCTGAACCTACTGCCTCCTTCCTCGAGAAACACATACAGAGGATGGGTTGACTAACCGGCGGCGAGCTTTGGCCGAGTCCTTCGAAGCTTCTTCTCTTCTGTATGCTTTGGAGGAATCTCAGAATCGACCCGTAGCAGACGCGATTCTACTGCGTTCGTGAAACTCTGATCTCACTTCAAAGCTCGATTTGTGCTCTCCCTCGTCTGTCGCGACTGGTAAGGAAACTTTCTTGGTTCGTTATTGTGGGTTTGGATTGCGGGCTAGGTTCTTATAGTTTCTTCCTTTTTTGGTTGGTAACGAGTTGTAAAGACAAGAGAGCGACACGACAGAGAAATCTAGGGACCACTGGAATGATCCTTTTGGCGAGTTTGCCCCCCATAACTGAAGGTGAGTGGGTCGATCTACTGTGTTAGATTTGTCAATTCCTCTTGCTATCCACGAACCCTAGAATTGAATATTGTTTTTCGTTGTTGTTTTCCATTTGTTAGGTAGTGAGTAAAATACTATTTATTTTGTATAATCACGTGGTTAATGGTGATTATAATACATTTTAATCGTGAATGATAGATGGCTGATTCTTGGGACAAAGCGTTTGGGGAGAACGATCCAGCCGCTGTGGTTTTATCAGACCTATCCTTGGTTGCAGATGATTGTGTTAAGGCCTCTGTTGCTCGAAACATATACCACGTATACGACTCAGATGATGCAGGTACATCTGACGACAAATACCATGAAGCAAGGGCAAATCTGCGAGCTTATGGGGAGATGAAGAAGAGGAAGGTGAAGGCGTGGGTTGATGGCCATGGGGAGGAGGTTGAGCAGCTTGATGATTTTGAGGAAGAGGGATCAGATGACGAAGATTCTGAACCTGATGGGTTGGCTGCTGAGGGAGCAGCTCATGTTGCTTCGCAACGCCAGGATGATAATCTGGTTGATGATGCAGATTCCGTCCAGGAAGCAAGGGGCCAAAACTCAAACCATTCAAGTTACAGGCTTTCAGAAGAGTCAAACCATGTTCGACCTAACCTGTCAGACTCGGATGGCAGGGACATATTCGACGATGCACTGCAATATGATCCGAAATGTGACCACAAGCTTCTCCAGTTCGTGCCTCGAATGAAGTTTGCTAGTGTAGAGGAATTCAAGGTCGTTGTTGTCTGTCACTCTGTAGCTGTTGGGGCTTGTCTGAGATGGGTTAGGAGTACTCCAAGTAGGAGGGAGGTTAGATGCAAGGACCATAATTGCAAATGGAAGCTTTATGCTAGTTGGTTTCTTCGCAATCAGAGTTTCATGATTAGGAAGGCTGGTCTGCCTCATTCTTGTGCAAGGCAGCTTCGTGTTAACCAAGTTACTGCACACTGGATTGCTAGTGATATGCTCGAGAGGTTTAAAATTAACCCTGAATGGGCTCCTGATCAAATTATGGCTGAAGTTAAGCTAAAGCACAATTTCTAAGTGAAGCGAAGAACGTGTTATAGAGCCAAGGTGTGCGCAATCAAGATGTTGGGAGGCTCACTTATAGAGGAGTACCAGAAAGTCAGATCCTATTTGGGCGAGTTGGTGAAGCGTGATCGAAGAGGGACTTTCAAGCTTGAGGTTGAACCACACCCTACACAAGACAAGGTGTACTTCCAGCATATGTACATCGGGTTTTCGAGTTTGAGGGATGGTTTTCTTGAAGCATGTCGTCCAATGTTTGGATTGGACAGGTGTTTCTTGAAGGGAGAGGTTAAGGGTATGCTGCTCACTGTTGTTAGGAAGGACAGCAACAACCAAATGTACCCAATTGCTTGGGCGGTTGTGGAGGACGAAAATTCTAACTCGTGGAGGTGGTTCGTCAACACCTTAGCTCAGGATTTACACCTAGCTGACGGCAGAGGCTGGTCTGTCATCTCATGGCTAAAGGGGTTCAATTCATTGGGGTTGATGATCCATTGGTTGTTGAAGTTCTCTCTCCGGGAGAGTATTCTCTGGTGCCGGGTTTCTGAGTTTACGGAGGTGCGCTTTGAAGGAGATGTTAAGGTGATTATTGATAAGATCAACCAATCGGATATCAGGGATAGCCGAATAGGGGCGCTTTTAGAGGAGATTGTGGGCTGCTTGGAGCTTCTGGATGGGTTCTCTGTGCGGTTTGTAGGTCGGAATAGTAATAGGGTAGTCCATCTGGTGGCTAAAAAGGCTCTTCATTTGTACCCGGCTACGAGTCGTTATTTTGATTTTCTGGCCTGGTTAAATTCCAGGATGTAACTATCTTCGCCTTTGATCAATATATTGATTACCTTTGATAAAAAAAGTATCACTATGATCGTCAACCGCATTCACCGTGACAAACAAAAACCGTGAATGCATCAACGCGGTTGACGGCAAAACTCTCATTTTCTAACGAATTTCATCGAGACGAGAATCCATACGGTCATAACCTTGAGACAGAATCGTTTCAGCAGCATCACTTCCCATTCTCCTCCACAATGCCACCAGATAACTAGCAGGCAGTCGCACAAAAGAAGAGCACAAGGCATTGAATCATCACATTCCTTTTACTTCCCCTTCAAAACGACTCATCTCAGCACTGAACATCCTCATAACCCGAACATTATGATTTCCTAATCCAAAAACTTACAGAGGAAAACATGAAGAACAATATTAAACTGTAAAACATGGAGTGAGTTGTAGCATTTGATCGCAGCAGTCAGAATTTCTCTGGTATCCAAAGCAAGAGACACCAGAAAAAGACAGACAGCTTGGCCGTCGACAGAACTGTCTATTTACTGCAAAATAACAACAGAACACAACACAAAAAACATAGCACAAAATAGACAGACAGACATCTTCCTGATAAGATGCAAAGTCGAACAACAAGAGACACGATGCACAATATAAGAAGATCAGCATACTGTAAAAAAGAAAAAGAAAAAAACACTGAACTACTCTTCTATATCATATATCACAAGAAGACCCGATCGGTGTACCTAGTTTTATTACATGTGCAACTATCTCAACAAGTGGAAAAGGCCAGGCAAAAAATCAAAACAACCAAATAGGAATGTTTCTGTTCTCAAGTTCTTCCTGCAGCAGGGGTAAGAGGCCCCACCTGCCCCGCAAGACTATTTACACTCCTCATATTCCACCAATTCCTTCCATGGTCACTACTGCTAGGTTTGATCTCATTCCTTTTGTCACCTGAATCCCTTCTCTCCGACTCGGCTTCCTGTGCATCAGCAGCTGCAGCTGAACCAGGATTCTCTGTCAACAGTTGCTCCCAGAACACATCATTCACCCCAGCAGCAGCAGCAGGCGGCTCTGTTGTTGTTGTTGTTCCACTTGCCTGCTCCTTTGGCGGGCTGAGCTCACTAGTTGTTACAGGCTCACAATTCATGTCTATTCCTGGGGATCTGGGATGAACAACAACATCTGATATGTTCAGCTGCATGATGGATTGTGCTGGGCTGTCTGCACAGCTTGTACACTCATCCATCTCCACCAGCGACGGCGTGTACTGGTGATGATTGAATGGTGTCGCTGTTGTTGTTTGACTGACATCGTTCACAACGTTCTCCCAGAATGTCAAAGATGACTCCAGCAGCTCACACTTCTCTACATTTTCTCTGGCCAGACATGCTGATGATATCTCCATTTGATTGCTGTCGTTGTTGTTGGTGTTCTCCGACATGAGTTCTTCTTCGAAGCAACCGATTCTAGGCAGCCTTCTCTTTCTCTCATGAACTTCTACCTGCTGTGGCATGAGATCCAGGGCCAGCCCTGGTGGTGTATTCATTGCCTTTGTAAGGCAAGAAGCAATCGTCTGCTGACGCCGTTCGAGTTCTTGAAATTTGTCTCTCAGAACCTGCATTTGCAGCTCGAACGCTCGTCTCTCTTGCTCTTTCCTCTGTAACTCGACGACGAGCACTTCTTTGTCGTGTTTAAGCCTCTCGATGTCGTCTTTCAAACTCTGCCTTTCAGGGTCTGACAAGGGGTTGTTGTTACCAATAGATCCTTGTACTTGTTGTAGGCTCTGCATAGAGTGGCTGTGAACAGGCTTCCTTCTGTGGATGTTCTTCATAAGGTGTGGTTGACCTCTGATGAAGTCCTCGTTGGCAAATTCCCATTGTTCTGGGTCTACTTTCCTGAAGCCCTGTTAGAAATCGATAATCATATTCCAATTCAATGAAAAGGAAAGGAAAAGAGAGAGAGTTCGTTGATGGTGGGAAAGAAATAAGCTTTGACTTACATAAGTATTGAGCTGTCTGATGAAGCTGGAGAAGTTGTTGTGCTTGAAGAATCTGGGGAGCAAATCACGGGAAAACTCCGGCGGACTCCATACTATGAAGCTTTTATTACTGGCACTCCACGAGACTACTGAATCTGTTGACGGATCATCGACCATCTCATACGTCTTTGTGAGGAAAGGCGGCAGAGAACTAGAGCTGCCCTGCGTTTCTTCCATCTTCGATCAACTCTCCGATCCTCAAGAATTAGCAGCAGAAGTCAACTGCCCCGCAATTCAGATGCGACTGGATAAGAGAGATCAAATCAGAACCCCTCAAATTATAATCTCAATCTCAAAGGACACAACACTCAAATCTTATTCTGGTGAAACCAACCAATCCATCAGGTGAACTCACCAAACACCTAACCTAATAAGAGGAGCGAAAAGGGGAAAAAAGGAAACCCCTTTATATCCCAACAAAAACAGCTGTTTCCAGACTCTTTCTGGCCCTGTATGGTGGAAAATCAAACCCCAGCTTCCAGATGAGAACAAAGAAAAAAGAGGGAGAAATAAAACGAAGGAACAAGGAAACAGGATTAGAGAAGAAAAAAACCCTACACTAGAGGGAATCTCAGTAAGAATTCAACGAACAGAAGCATCTGCTCTTACAGTCAAAAGCAGAGACGTGTAATAGCGAATTCTGGAAGCTCCCCCCCTCACCCCAATCCCTAGCAATCGAGGAGCATCACGAGACTTGAGACTCCGTTAGAAAGTCGACGAGAAAAGGACCCACTTCCCCACTTGTGTACCGGCGCTATTAGAACAATCACAGACCTCATAAGAAACGCCCCCCTCTTTTCCCCCCTTCTGCTCCCTTCTCCCCAGCCAAAGGTCTAACAGTTGCTGGCAGCTCCAATCGCCATAAATTTGTACGGCCCACCCTATTTATGGCTAAAACTAAATAAAGGGGCTCGAGGGTCGTCGGCGATTTCTGTTTAATTAGTTGGAAAATCTTTGTTTTTTATGGAGTAAACTTCAAAGAATCAATTCAACAAACACCTTGCCTGCGTGCCTTTCTTCCCATTGAACCCAACCCCACTTCCCACTTCCCCCACCTTTTGACGAGTCGTTAAGTCGTGCGTAAGCAAACAAAACAAGTCTGCAAGCTTCGGACTTGGAGCCCAAGCAAAGCGACGACTGGAGCGAGAGATTACCTCAAAGCGGTGGGATTCATAACTGCAGGCTGACTGGGTGGTTTGTTCCGCCGGCGCCGCCGTCGTTTCGGACGCTTTCCGCTCCTTTGAATCGCGTGAAGGGAGATCTCCTTCCTTTTTTTTATCCAGATACGCCAATTATGTTTGTTGACGGATTCTTTATTTACCTATCACCCGCCTGTCGCCACCATTGATGGCGAGAGATTAGAGATTGGGCAGGAAGTGATTAAAGCCTGATAATCATGAATTAAGGGGGGGAAAACAAAGAGATTTATTAAATCGAGAAGGAATCTGAGGACAGACAGATTGAGATTGGTTTTTCTGGGTTTAGTCGAAATTTAATTTCCTGGGTGTTATGTTGTTGTGCGTTTGTCTATGTGTGCCTTGTGTGGTAACTGGTAAGGCGAGGGGATGACGTGTGTGCTTAGGTGGATAAAGAATTAAAAATTAATTTATGGGGGGGAATTACGTTTATTGCGTATGTTATGGTTTGAATAAGTTGCACAATGGTACTTAAATGGGTTAGAGTGATACTTCTGGTCCTCCTATTATGGCATGTTAGCATATACATTCTTATACTAAGATTTTTTAACCAACATTTCATCCGAATTTGTAAAATTTTGGGCATTTATTCATGTTGAGTGTTGACCACCGTGGAGTTGTCAAGTTGTTTGGATATGTAGATCCTAATGATATGATTGATCAACTTTGAATTATGTAATAGGTGACTCTCATTACGAATAGCAAATTGTTTACTGACTCGAGTTCACTCAATAAAAGCACTTGAGTTTGAGAAATTTAAAAGATCAACTCGAGGTGAGCTAACTCTTTTTTTTTTTTACTGAATCCAAAGCTAACTTCGTTCAATTGAAGGCCAATTGCTAACTAAACCCAATCTTCTCGACCTCCCACACCCACAGGCCCACACAATCCTTATCCATCTACTCTAGATGTCCATCACTCTTTCAGGTTCCATCCTTCTTGTATCTCCTTCTTCACGCGACTTCATCTTCTCCTCCGATTTTCCCTCGACTTCTTCTTCTCCCTTGTTGTCGGGTCTTCAGCTGAGGATGGAAGACTGGAGTGGTTGGTCAGCGGCAGAAGTCAAATCGAAGCGGGGCTCGGAATGGCGATGAACCGGTGCTAGCCTTGGGGGGGGGGAGTGAGGGAGTGGTAGCCTCCAGTTGGGAGAGGGTGAGGAGAAGGTAAGGTCGAGTCAGGTTTGAGGGTGTGTTGGCCTTTTGGGCTGGAATTGATGTGGGTTTTGGGTTGTTGACTGGGGTTTAGGCTGGACGGAAACATGGACTTTTGACTGTGCATTAATGTTATCCAATTTGCTAGTATTTAATCGGAATGGTCCGAACTGATTTTTCTACCTATCATCAAGACCGAAGACTGGATCAGATCGTATGCAATTCGATTTTCTGGTACAATCAAACCGATTTAAGAGATTTCGTTTTCGATTTGATCGGAAAAACTTGATCGTTTTCTCAACCCCAATGCATATCCCCAACAAATATTATTATAGTATAGTCTTGGATCAAAATCAGGCACGTATGTGTGGGCATGTATTGGACCACTTGTACACGCAGTAGTGGTGGTGAGAAAAGGCGTGGAAATGTCTCTATGCCTATTGGAGATTGGAGTCAGAAAGTTGTAAAGCTGAAGCATGAATTGAAGGGAAAGAATGGGGCGGGAAGCTTGTGATTTGAAAGAAGCCAAATGCAGGGATACAAGTGTTAAACTTATAGTCTGCCTTCCTGGATTTTCAGGAATACCACGTAAATTTGTGTTTGTTCACCGTTTTCAATTTCCGTACTGTCAGATAAATCAACAACAAGAGCCTTTAAGTACTACTTGTAAGTTGTATAACTTGATGGCTTTTATTACTATTATTAATTACTACTTGTATAATTTGATTAATGAATTAGTAATATTTTTAAACGAACTATTATGTCAACTCTCAGGTTATTGCATTGTGGATAAAACAATCGATCACTTTAGAAAGATGGCTAATGGGATGACATACTTATCTTGTTGCAACATGACTGTACTATTGTAAAGAAAAATAACATATATCCTACATCATGGAGAGTTCGACAAGTTAGGGGTGATGATATCTTCGTACCTCAAGCCAACGCTGCAGAGAGTGATCAATGAACCATGCGATCCCACCTGTAAAGTTGACCATAAAGCTAACATGGTCGAACTGTTGATCAACATGCACCTTAATGAACAACTGCTTTTGATGTTCAAACGACTTTTCTTCTTCACCAAAATCCAAGGCCACAAGAATTTATATACACGATGTTTAGATTGATAAGCTCATAATGTAAATGGTTATTTGTAGGGGTTATGTTGATAATAACTCGGATGAAATGATAGTAAAGTCCATGTTTAATATTGAAATCTTTCTAGTGGTAGAATCTTATTCAACACTAATAAGTAATAAGGTAATGACTAATCCATCAATTGTTATTTTCCTGCTCTTTACTGTTTTTTTTAAGGTTACTGATTGTTACTATTATTGCTATTCTTTAATCAGATTACATTATCACTTATATCGTGTGAAAGGGGATTGCGTTTCTAAGGTCTTCTCCACGGGCTGGCTGCAACGATGTTAGCGTGTTGACTACGCCACTAGAATCTCAGGGTTTTGGATTGTGATACATTATAAATTGACGTTGCCCAATTATACAACTCGGACGGTTAATATACGTTGTTTGTTGTGACAATGCAAGTAATAAAGAAGGGAAATCTAAGTCCAATCCTCATTGAGATTCTAATATTTTTATTTTTATTTTGATTAAATTTGTAACATCCCGAACCTTTTCCCGACGAAGATATTGTCCGCTTTGGGCCTCGACCCTCACGGTTTTTGACTTGGGGTGCAATTCAAGGTGACTTCCCATAAGGTCATTCATCCTTGTTGTACTCCACACTGAGCACGTTTAACTTCGAAGTTCTCACAAGAACTCGTCAATTTCACCCCAAAACGCGTCTTGTCAGTTAAGGCCGGTTTCCTAATTATGAACCATGGATCTCTCCCGTGCTTTGTCGATGTGGGATTCGCCTAAGGTGTTACAAAATTTATCTTTCAGAATATTTACATTTTGAATATATGGAATTTCAATCAAATAACTTATATGAAAGTCAACATGTAAATAGAAGGGTCGATTTAGTGGTATTGTGAGGATGAGAACATCTAATACATTCTGGATTCAAATTGTGAGACTAACAACCAACAAAAAACAATTTATAGGTTAAAAAAGTCTTTTCATCGACACTTCGACTATTTGTCGGCAGACATGTTTGGTTGTGTGATATTCTATAATTATTTTTTTATTTACTATCTATATGACAGCAACAAAAAATCAACCTACCACGGTTGATTGTGTAATATTCTGTAACTATTATTTTTATTTACTATATGTATATGACACACACACAAAAAAGAAAAAGGGGCGCCCGCGAAGCTGTGCCACGTGAAGGAAGGCGACCCTTTTCCCCAACGAAGAGCCCACACCCACCTTGATCAACCCACTGAGCACCTACAACCGTAATTAAAGCTGCTGGGTCGGGCCTTCAGGTCCATCTGTCTCATATGGATATGGGCCCAATAACAATATGGCGATGTGCTTCTGGCTTCTGCAGCTGTGGATCTGTAATCTGTTTACCTAACGTGCACAATAATGTCACGTCACATACATTTGGCGAAACAGATAATCATTGCATTACTATTCATTGGACATGCGATGACTTATGGTCGATAAAGTACTAATTTTTAGCAGCTCAATCATCGAAAAGGGACAAAACGCAAGGATATGTTCATCTTTATACGACCATTTTAGTTAGGGGTGAAAGTTTGGGTTGCGGGTTGTGGATAATCTGCAAATCGCATCAACCTGTACCTAGGGATGGCAATTACCCACCCATGGGTAATTTTACCCAAATCCAAATAGATCCATTTAGTATGGGTAGGGTTTGGATGAAGTGTATATGGGTTTGGGGGTTTGTAAATGGGTTTGAGTTAGGTATGGATATTGCTTTCATAATGTAAATGGGTATGGGTTGGATATGGATATCCATTTACTTGAGGGTGTTTTAACTACACACACAAAAATTGGACCTATTTGTAAAACTTGAAAAGTTTAGGTACCAAAATGTAAGACCAAAAAATCTTAGGTATCAAAACGTAATTTTCCATTGATATTTTGAGGACTTATATGCAAAAAAAATTAATTTTAGGTACTAAATTTTCATATCTATTAAGTTTAGGTACCAAACTGTAATTTTCCTTTGGGGATGGGTACAAATCCAAATCCATGTGTTAAAAACCCAACCCAACTCAAGTAAATGGGTATGGGTACAAATCCATCAAACTCTACCCATCTACCATTTATTTGGAATCCATACCCAACCCAATTGGGTTGGATAGTAAAATACCCATGGGTATGGGCAAAATTGCCATCCCTACCTGTACCTATTGTGGGTAATCATACCCACAAGTTGTGGGTAGTGGGTTGGGTGTAGGTAGTAAAATAACGATTTTTGTGGTTAGTGGTTATCCACTACCCACTGCGGTTAACCTACAATAACCACACTAATTATATTTATTTAGTGAATTAACTTTATAATATAATAGTATGTGAAAAGTGTGAGGATAAAAATTGAAGTAGCCACCAAATAAAAAAGACACACCTAATCAGTTTTATGTACGAATTTTTAGTTTATAAAATTCTATAATCGATAGAGTGGAGAATAATCAATTCATTAAAAGTGAACACATTTTATAACTTTTATCAGTATGTTTTTATTTTTGTGTGAAAAAAATACAAGGTCATATTTAATTGTCATATTTCACCCCTAGTCGAGAAAATATGAAATCACAGCTCT